AAACTAGTGGTGTATGCCGTTGCGTCTTGAGACGAGATGCTGGAGAAATAAAATTGATGGACGACTTGAATTTAAAAATTGATTATTTACACCTGAAAATGCCAACTTCTAATTACATCTATATTTTAAATTTATTTATAGTAAGATAAAAACAAGGTTTTATGATCAAAGTACTTTATCAAACAAAAATTAATGCAAGAAATTATTTTTATCAAGACTCATTATAATTGGAATCGCGTAGAGTCTGATATAAATAAATTACAAACATTAATAAAAACTCTTATATAGGTACAAATTAATTATCTTATCTTATATTATTGCGAAATGAGCATTTCATTACGAGTCGTGACGAATGTAGCAATTTCTGCTCTTCTTGAAATGTGATTCATTTGCAATATTACGTCACGCCCGAGTAATATTTCTGAAGCGGAGATTATTTTAGTTAAATAAATTCTTGTTATCAAATCTTGTCAGATGTTCGAGATGCAGAATTTCATAAACTGATATAAAATAGAGTTGGCTTTGGTTTCAAATGATAGTGAAGTGCTTTTTGCTTCCTTTGTATATAAATTTTATATATCAATTTTACTCATTCAGCTTAAAATTTATTAAAATGTCTAAACAAAACGTACAAAAAGTATTGGAAACTTTACCGATCGGCTTTTTCAAAGATTATACGGGTTTGCTCGATACTGATTGCCTCAACAATTTTCCATGACCTAATTAAAAATATTTTCCAACAATTTTTTTCTACTTTTATCCGAACGCGAAAGGAATTTCAGCATATAGCTATTCATAATAAAACACTAATTAAAATACAATTTCATTGGAATTGCATTATTTTGTATAAATAAACTTATAAAGGTAAACTGAATTAAAGTAATTTTGTATTAGATAAGGTATTGGAGCAAATATCGAGCTTTTACAAGGATAGGAGTTTGTTTGAAATTAATTTTCAGTTTAGTTAAGTTTTTATCCTTACATTTTAGACACAATTAGCGCCTTTTGTACATTACAAAACAATATAAGTATGTACAGTGAAAAGTTCTTTAATCTTATTAGACCATAGACACTCTTCGTAGAAGTGTTTAATTTCACTTCCTAATAAAAGGTTCACCAAAAAACTTTTTTATTTGAAAATTATATAAAAAACTGCTGCATATATATTTTTTTAATTGAAAGTAAAATCCTTCCGAAAAATGGAAAATAGTAGATAACGATCCGCATTTTGTTTTTTGAAAATTGCAGTAAAAAAGTACTAAATATTTTTCAAATTCTTTTCAAATGCAAGTACTATTTTATTCAAATGGATGTTTCGTTTGATTATTGAAAGAATATAAAAATGAAAAAATGAAAATAAAATGTTAGATGCCGGTTCACCATTTTTTTGAAAATTGCTGAATATTTTCTCAAATTTAATTTTTATTTGAAAAAACAATTTTTCAAGTGGCTGCCTCTGCTAACCAATAAAAAAATAGGAATAAAAACTTAGATGCCGGTTCGTCATTTTTTTTGTGAAAATGCTGTAAAAAAACTACGGCCCATTTTCTCAATTTTTTCTGCTTTTATTTAAAAGTACAATTTCATTCAAATCTCGACTGACCATTGAAAAACAAATGAAAATGAAAAAATAGAAATGAAAACTCCGGTCCGCCATTTTTTATATTTATATCAGATTAGTCAAATTTTCAAATGTTTTTTGAAATTAGTTTAATATTAAATCTCGATTTGGAAAGACATGTAACGTATGACATTATATTTGACATACATGCGGTTTCGATTTGTCTCATCTGTTTTCACAATAATTGAATTATTTTAATCAAATATGCATATGAAATCTTCAAACATTGTCACATGTCGCATATTCTAGTATTATACCACCTGCACAAGACAATTCAGACAAAATTTCAGACACAATATACATGAAGTAATTTATTCATAATTACATTTATGAGACAAATCCTATTTTCAAAATTTTAATAAAATAGTGCAAAATAGTATATTTTTATTCATATATATCCTTAATAAAAATTCGTATTAGAGCTGCATAATATACATGAGCAACTATTATGATATAGCAAATATTGAAACAAGAAAACATTATGCAGATATTGCAATTGCACAAGATGATATAGTGATAGTGCGTTCTGCAATATTGAAACAATAAAATATGATGTAGGATTTAATATGTCTGCCAAATGCAGAATTTTAATAACAGTAAATATCTAGAATATTTATAGAGAATAAAATTATAAAACAAGTGCACTGAACACACATAAAATATGATTCGGGTCGAATCCGGGTGAAAATCTTAATTGGTGCTACTAGAAACAGTTTAATTATTATTCTTTTTAATTATAATATTAAAATTTTCTTCAAATCAAAATAAAAGTGAATACGATTGAAATTTTTGAATAAAATTTAATATTTTAGGAAATATCAATCAATCGACGCTTCTGTTTGCTTGTTAAATTTATGTTTGTACTTTGACATTTTATTACTTTTTATTTTTCTGAAGGAGAAGTTTATGTTTTCACAAAAAAAAATCATGAGCATTTTGTAAGCTAAAAATATTTTTTTATTGTTTAAACAACATGCATATTATTTATGTAAGAAAATCAGTTACCTTTGAAAAAATGCGTGTATTTCTTTGCGGGTAAAAAAACACGGACATCTCAAAATTGAGTAAAGTTAAAAAAAATTATCAACAATATTTGAAAGTAGAGGGCGAAAGATTCTTACAACTTTGCTATCAGAAGATAAACCACAATGTTTAAAAATCCCAAACAAAAGTATTTTCTTTCGATGTTATATTTTATGGCTGTGAGCACTGTTATTTAGTTCACGAGACCTTGATATTTTTCAAATATACGTTCAAGTAAAACCTTGAAAAATTCACTTTTATATTGAAAAAAAAATGCTAAATGAAAATCACTACAAAAACGCTCTTTTTGTCAGTTTTTAATATGATGAATAACAAATATTGAACGAAAAATAAATAATAATATTTTCAGCATCAAACATATTTAATAAATTATAAGAAAATTAATTTATTTCAATAAAAAAACTATTTTAAATATTTTATTTTTTGTATAGATAAAAATTAAATTTGGTTCGTACAGATATAACCTCTTTTTTACTCTCTAGTTTTTTATTTTCATATTTTCTCATTTTGTAAAAAATGATTTTGTTATTTGTTTACCTTGAATAAATTCATGCTATCAATTATATATAAACACTAATTTAAAAAAAGATTAAAACCAATTATGCTCTTTGTTTTGATTTTTCAAACAAACTAGCTTATACACACATAAAATTTAGTTTTGATTCTAAAACGGGAATTTCCCAGATTTTGTTAATCTACAGATTTTCATTATAGACATAGACTGACGATGAAAATGTTATTGTAGATATAAGCAAACCTTAGTTTAGTGTTAATAATTTCGTGTAAATGCATAATTAATAAAAAAATTTAAAAACAATTCAAAAACCGTGTAAGATCGAAAACATGTTTACAAGAAATAAAGCAATTTTACAAGAGATAATGTAAATAATTCGTCATTCCAAGTCTGCTGATGAGTATTTTTGGCGAAATACCAGATCAAGGTTATATAATGTGTTAGGCCTGGTGCACACGACGCCAGATTTTCTGATTAGTGCATGCCGGGCAGGTTGTTACCTAGCAACGATATGACAAATTATAATTTACGATTTTGTCCGACATATTTAACGATCTTGCCAGCCAGATTTCAAGTTTAAGCTCTTTATTTATAACGGCAGTATCCTTAACACAATTTCTGTCTTAACCGTTGCAAAATCATTATTACTCATGAAATAAGTGAAAATCTGGCGCTAAATTCTTGCTCACCTTACCAGAAAACTTGACAAAAATCCTGTATAAAAAAATACTGGCGTCGTGTGCACCGGACTTTATACCTATAATAACAAATGTACCTATGAAATTTATATTTTGCATTGGTTGAATAATGTACCTATTATTTCGTAAAATACCTTTAAAATTAAAAATAAAACATTGGATCTATTTGGCTCTTACTCTCGTCCCATTTTACTCCGCCTATGAGGTAAAAGGATCCAGGAGCCATATTTCTGAAAAATATAAAAAAATCACACTTTTACCATAATGAATTAGCTAGGAGTTTTACTGAACATAGTCAGATAGTTGTTTGCTTGATATGTGTTATTTTTTGTGATATATTTGGACCTTTGTGCCCCGCCCTATATTATTTATATATATATATACATATATATATATATATATATATATATATATATATTAGGGTGGTCCTTAAAATGGTCATTTTTGAATTTCTTTGCTCCCAGGGGCTCAAATGGTTCCAAATAGATAAAAAACAATTCTCTGAAAGTTTTAGCTCTTATTATTAACGTTTAGATAGAGCGCAATTCAATCAAAGTTTGTATGGAAAGAATGTTTGTAATGGAAAAAATTTTGAAAATTAACAAAAAATGTTTTAGGTATAACTTAGCGACAAATAAATAAGTTTTATTCATGCATTTTTATTCGCTAAAATATATCTAAAAAACATTTTTCCATGCTATTTCCATACAAAACTTTGATTGAGTTGCGCTCTATCTAAACGTTAATATTAAGAGATAAAACTTTCAGAGAATTGTTTTTCATCTATTTGCAACCATTTGAGCCCATGGGAGCAAGGAAATTTGACTATTTTAAGGACCACCCTAATATATATATATATATATATATATATATATAAGGGTGGTCCTTGATATGGACATTTTCGAATTTCTTTGCTCCCAAGAACTCATATGGTTTTAAATTGATAAAAAACAATTCTCTGAAAGTTTTAGCTCTTAATATTAACTTTTAGATAGTGCGCTGTTTTCGAATTCTATTTTGGAACCATTTGAGCCTTTGGGAGCAAGGAAATTCGAAAACGTTCATATTAAGGACCACGCTAATATACATGTATCTATTCTACATATGTAAATTATTGTTTCAGTCAGCTCAATTCACCTCCAATATTCAAATGATGACGATGGTGTAGTTGCAGAAAAAAAGAGTCTCATGTGAGCTATGCTTCATACATTATGCGACCGGGCAGAGTCATGCAGCTCGCGCAACATTTACTAGCCACTCTATGGCTTTTAATGCAGATAGAACTGGCATTTCCGAATAGCACAGGTTAGTACCTACTAGTACCCTATGTAATTCATTAGTAAAATTGAAATGGCAATGGTAACGGTACTGGTAACGGTACTGGTCAAAGGACGCGAAAAACTACGCTTTTCATGCACGGGGTTAACAAATAATCCAATCCAAGCTCTAGCTATTAGGTAGATACATCATGGGAAGGAAAAATTGTCATGGAGGGTAAATGTAGGACAAATGTGCTTTATGCTGAAATTGCAGTCTTTTAAATAGTATAACGAACTAAGAAAGAATTAATATATAGTATCCGCGATAAGGGTACAATATCACCTTGGATTTTTCCCTAAACAATCTTCAGAAAGATTTATCAAAATCCGAATAATCGTTTAGGAGAAATTCATACATCATTGCAGAAGAATTTTAAATATAAGATATAAATCTTATCTAGAATTAAACCTAGGGGCAAAATTGAGGTAATAGAACAGCGTCTGTATTTGCGATCTATTTATACTTCTGTTATCTATTATATCGGGCAATGAAATTAAAAGTTATTGGAAGTAAATTAAAAAATGTTCTAAATCGATATATGAGAAATTATCAAAATATGAAAGTCTGCATTTCAAAAGAGAATCTTTCGAAAATTTTACATATAATTGTTTTTGATAGTTCAGTACTAACAGGCTTTTAGTAAATTTTATCTAGTTTTTATAATGCAAACAAATCATAATGTCTAAAATGAAATTTAAAAGTTATTTAAGGAAAAGTGTAAGATATTCAAAATTCATACATATATTATAAATTATCAAAATAATAAAGTCCACATTTCAATTAGGAATTATTCAAAATTTTGATATCCAAGTGTATATAAGCGTTTTTACTAGATTTTAGTAAATTTTATTTAGTTTTCACTTATGTAAACAATTTATGATGTCTGAAATGAAAATTTAAAAATATTTGAAGTAAAGTAAAAAATGACCTAAATTTATATATTGCATATTATCAGGATACTAAAATCCACATGTCAACAGTTTTTACTAGATTTTAATAAATTTTATATGCATATTACAAATAAATACAAAACAAAGCGGCCCGTGCAAAATTTTCAAAGAAATTGAATTTTTTAGTAAATTTTTTCTAGTTTTTTTTAATGTATTAACAAATTACAATGTTCTGAATGATAATTTTAAATTGTTTCAAAAAAGGTAAAAAATGTTAATTTTGTTTAACGATTTATTTTTTTATTTGGTTTTCTGATTTCTCTATGGAGAATTTTTTCCCTTAACATAATTTTCTCAGCTTTTTAAAATATCGAATTTATTCTATTCTTTTCTTCACAACTTTTGTTGAAATGTTGCCAAAAGCAGTGGAATTGAATTCATATAGAAAATTAAAGTGATTGATTACGTAATTATTTTATTTAATATAATAAGTACTTCATTTCTATTTGGAGAATATATTTTTGCTAAATATCTGTATAAGTTCTAATTTCAATTTAAATTTGATTTGTTATTTTTAAATTGCATTTTCAAAATAATTATTTAAAAATGCTGCATATGATGATCATGAAAAGAAAACAATATGTATTACAACATTTTTCATCCTATCTAAAAACAAATATTTAGTGTGCACACATCATATATTTATATGATTAATTTGTACATGAGGTGAATTTTGATACAAAAATATAATTTTTACTTTAGAACGATTTTTTGTTTTTTATACGAGAAGACTTGATCAAAAATATATAAATTCATTTTTGATGATTGTCTTTCAGATAATGAGACTGTCTGCTTTTGTCAAAGCAAATCGCCACAACTCCACAGCAAATATATATATAAATATATATATATATATATATATATATATATATATAGTGGAAAATGTCAGTAGTATATCTATTTTAACCTAATTATCTACACTGCGGTTTTAAGTAAAGATAGAACTGATGTTTCCACATCAAGTAATTAATTAAAGTAATGTGAATGGTGTTCGTCAAAGAAAGAAAAACCGTTTGCAAACCCTGCACAATTTCAATGATTTAATTATCTAAAAGCATTCATAGTTGGACATAAAGTATATATTGGATTAGAACTGATATTAATAATAATTAATTATATTATATATCTACAAACGGCGTCTCCTAAGTTAACATCTTTGTAAGTAAAGTATGGCATTTTTCAACAATGCTATTTTAAAGTAGAGGGCAAATATTGTTTAACCAGATATCGCATTAAATTGGGCAACATCATTATCACGAGGTAAAAATCTTCATCATCATTTTTTTGGTTTTAAGCACTGTTATTTAGTTTACGATACCTAGATATGAATTTTAAGTATACGTTGATTAATTATTTATTGTTATTTTTAAGTTAGATTCAACAATTTTTTTTAATAACCTCAAGAATAGCTTAGATTTGGTTGGGGTGAAAAGAACCATTTGAACAAAAGGTGAATAAAAAAAATAAACAAAAAAACAATTTTTTGACAGATAAATTAAATTACTGTATATCAATATTTTTTTATTAAAATTGAACTTAGTTAACAAATCTTTTTGTTATAAATAATATTCAAACAAAATACTCGATACTATTTCCATTCTATTAACTCAAATATAATAAATTATTCATTATTAAAACTACAATAGTTACAATAATGACCAAAAGCAAATAAACACACGAATCGAATTTTTTGCAACATTTTATTTTCGTTTCATTTAGTAGGAAATTGATTATTGAGTAATATATATGCAAATTCTTTTGATATTCGTAATTGAAATGATTTATAGAAAATGCTATTGTATTGTGGTTGTGGCATGTTTTATTAAAAACGATTTGCAAAAATAAATTTTAATCGTAGATGAGAGCACAATAATTAAAATGTGTGTTTTCAGTATTGGAAGTTTTTAATTCATAATGTTAATAAAAAATGAATGAAATTGTGTACAGAACAAATATATGATTTTTTTAATACAATAAGTTGAAATAAATGTACGAAAGTAAGTGGGCATGATAGTAAAAAGGTAAAATATTTGATTGAAAAAATAAACTCACGGATCTTATTATTATTTCCATTATGAATTTACTTATCAGTATCAATTAAGTTTTGTTCTTGATATCTAAAACCAGATGCTTTTATCTCTGTATAGTGATATTTCCAAGTTCCATCGGATCTTCTCAAACTTCAGTGAAACTTTGATACTTCATCATTAATTATCATATTTACTTACACGTAATATTATATGCAATTTGAAATAGTTACTCAGCTATCGGATTATGCAATAGTTAAACATATGAGACTATGATACAATTCGCACAGTAGATAATATATTATTTTTCTCCAGTTATTATTAAAGTACGAGATTTGTCTATGAATAGTTAAGAAAATCAAAGTGCTTCATAAGCAGAATATAAATTCAAAAACTTCGTTTAAAAACTACACCATAAATCAATATGTATTTTATTCATTCAAAGATATTTGAACAAAATCTTGACGGGTTTCCTTGCTCTGAATATAAATTTTCCGGACGTTGAATAAATTTTCAGTCACAAATTATCAAGATTGAATTATTATTCGCTCCTTAAGATAAACTGTGGGAATTGTCTAGGAAATTTGGAATTGTCCTTGTAATTGTGTTTGTATTACTGAATTGTCTTAGAGAAGTTCTAGAATTTTTGTCGAATAATTCTTTGGAGATAGTTAATGAAATACATGTTTTTCGGTAAACAGTATCTGGGGATCCTCAAAATCAACACCAGGGTTATATGTTAAATTTATTTACACTACGTCATGTTATCAATGGATTATGTCCGAGTCCGACTCGCAACGGCGTTTCCGGACTAAAACAGAGCAGAGCAGACAGACGCACAGACGGATGCCCAAACATCTAGATAACAACATGCTCGTATGAATTTATTACATGATACAATACACTACTGTACTATATACACTAGGAAGTGCAATAAAATTCTATGATTTGTGATCTACATATTTCCTGCAGAATCTTATGTGACTCTCCGAAAGAAAAGTAGTCGGCTATAAATGTCTGTGTGAGCGATAAAAAATTATGTACTGATTTTTATTTGAAAAATATACAAACTTGTTCAAGGAGTAGTATCACGACTATGAAAGTACATCGAAAAATCAATACGTCTATACATATCATTCTTTAAAATTTATTTGTTTATTAATGTAATACCCCAATAAGGCAGTAATGCAAGTTTTTAAATTTAAAATATTTATACGAGCGCTTTTTACTCTATAACATCAAAATTGATTCTAATATATATATATTTGTTTAAAAACAATTTCACAGCTTTCCATATATCAAGGTATATTTAAATTTCTATCGCAGTGTGAAATTTTTAATACATTTAATTATTAATTGATTTTTTTAATTATTTTTTATTGAACCAGTGTAAAATGTGGTATTTAAATCATATTTCTCTAAATTATAAGATATTTCTCTAAATTCTAATATATCTCTAGATACTATATATATTTAGTGAAATAAAGCATTTTTTCTCCACATTTTTATAATTGAATTCTCGAAGAAGTTTCCAAGTTTGTCAGTCATAATGAAAAATTTGGACAAAGTATGTCTAATTGTAAGTGTATCATTGTGAGTGTAATTGAGTCAAAATTGGTTGACAACAAAAATGTTAAAAAATTGCACCGATTTCAAATTTTTGGTAATCATTTTTTCACATGTCATCTATATTTTAGAATTTGTAAAACGATTAGGGATTTTAATACTTTTTTATACTTTTCTAATAAGTTTATTTTTGATAAACATTTTTTTCAATATTGGTGACCCCGACGTGATTTTGGGTCGGCGCTTATAGCAATTTGAGTTTCTTTGTCCGAAGGGAGTGATGTGGCAACACAAGTGTGCGCAGAATTGGCTTTTGCAGATAAAATACCTGTGACAATGACATTTTTACAAATACACGGTATCCCAGAACTCAATGCCAAGTTGAAATGCGGTGATAGTATTGATAGTAACTATCATGAAAAAAAAATAGAAACTAGTAAAC